AGTTTGAGCAAACATTCTGTCGCATAGTCGTCACCGGCGTTCGATCCGATCATCGCATCAATGTTCTCTTCAGACATCGCACCATGAGAATACAATAAATCCATGATCGGTTCAAGCCGCGGCATTTTATCACGGCCTGACACACTTCCCGAGCTATTCCACCTATTCCATTGATTTATTGTAGAATATAGCCCACTCTCAACATGTTCACTGGGGGCAAATTCGTACCCATCTTTCTTCTGCACAGTTTCACACCATAGACGTGGGATTTTGGGTGTAAAAGCCAGACCCGGGTCTGCACCAGCGTCGAGGAGCAGCGAGACCGTCTCTGGCATTTTCGTCTGGCAAGCATACTGCAGTGCCGATGGCATTAGGCCGCCACGGCTGTAGTCGATGTGAGACTTGAGAAATTCGGTTCCCTTCTTAGCTTTAATGGCATCGATGAGTCGACCGACGATGTTGGGTTGCCTGAAGGCTGCGGCAACCTGCAAGGGGCTCATGCCTTTGTGTGTGCGCCCAACAGGGCACGCCCCGCCATCCAAAGCCAGAGCGACCAGCTTGTCGTTGTCTTTTGCGAAGTGATGGATTGGTCGTATCCTAGCATTGTCTTCGGCATCGAAGCTGTCGAAGGTTGTGAGCGTCTTTTCTAGCCGCAAAGCGTGGTTGGCCGCTAGCCAGTGTACATAGGTCTCGCCGGCGTTGTTTTTGTGGCCGGGAGGCGCGAGAGACCAGTCCATCGGATTCCCTTCATAATCAACTGCTGCTGGATCTATTCCCCAGGAAACTAGCCTTCTTACCATTGCCTCAGAATCGCTCATGGGGCGGTAAAAGTAGAGGTTGCGGCCGCGAAAGTCGCGGGCGTTGATGTCTGCCCCAAGCTCTACCAGCATCTGCACAACTGCGACTCGATCTGGCGACCTGGCTTCGTTTACCAACTTGAATAGCGGGGTTTTACCCTCATTATCACGAACATGGATATCTGCTCCTGCTGCTAAGAGGGCAGAGACCACCCTCTTTGAAACGTGCTCGAATGGGGACTTGACTTCTGTCAGTTTGAGGATGCGGTGTAGAACAGTCTCACCGTCGTGATTCTTGGAGTTTGGTGGTACCCCTGCTGCAAGGAGAGCTTCAACAATCTCTACAACCTGGTCACATTTGAACCTAAACAAGTACCCGGAGAAGAAACGATGCAGGGCACCCTCACCCTTTGGGCCGGTATGTGCCATGTTGGCACCAAGCTCAGAGAACTTTCGAGCCAGCGCTGCCGTCATCTTGCCACTACCGGCCGCACAGAGGAGGGGTGTTAACCCAGTCGAGGTCTCCGCATGGATAAGATTCGCGTTTCCCTCCTCAACCATGAGCTGTATTAGCTCTGGGTTCAAACAGTTATGTAGTACAGTCGAACCGCCACTGCTCCTGGTTGTTACATCCGCCCCAGCTCTTATCAGGGTGCGTACAAGGGCGGGTCGCCGTGATGCGGCAATAGCTAGAGGACTGCCCCCGTTATAATACGATGGTGCACGGTATGTACCATTTATATCGACTCCGGCATCGAGCATCAAGGCAATCGTTTCTTCCATCAATCCTAGGTTGAAGGTCTTTTCATCGGCTGTTTGAGATGACCAACTCGTTTCCGTTGCGCCACAAAGTAGGTGTAGGGCGTTGAGACCGCGTTTGACGACCATCTCTGGATTTTCACCATCGTCTTCTCCTTCGAAATGCTCCTCCTCGTCAGTGTCATAGTCCTCAAACTCATCACCCCAAACTTCATCGGCCGTGATCATCGGGTTCGCACCAGCGCGTAGGAGGAGAATCATAAGCCTGAAATCGTGACGCTTTGCCGCGTACATTAGGGGCGTCTCCCCGCGAATCTTGGTGTTGACATTGACATGTGGGTGCTTGAGCATCTCTTCCACTAGAGAAACGTGCCCACCCTCTGCTGCCCATCCTAGGGCCCTGTAGACATGTCTCTTCGTGAGAAGATAGGGTATAAAGGCCCTAGCTGATTCCAGATGACCGTTGAGGAAGGCCATCATGAGTGGTGTATAGCCCGTGGTTCCAGAACCAACGGGATACCAATCAGGGTCCTCTCTTGTCTTTTTTGTCATTGGATCGACTCCAGCTTGAAGAATTAATCTGACCGTGTCACCATTATTGCTCGTCGCTGCCTTGTGCAGGGGTTTCGACCCGTCTCTGAGAGATTCCTGATCTGGCTTTGCTCCAGCTGCCAGCAGCACCTTGACAGTAGCGGCGTGCCCTCCTCCAGCGGCGAAAAGAACAGGTTTTTCTCCATATCTATCATCCATGTCGATATTCGTCCCTCCTCTTGTCATGAGGTGAGATACGTACTGACTCAAACCATTGCAAGAAGCCACATGGATGGGCTTCCACCCACAGGCCGTTCTTCTCTCCAACGCCTCCAGAGCCAAACAGTTAGTATCAGTGAGCAATTTATCAACGTCGCCCAGCAAATCTTGTGAGAGTTGTGAGTGAGAATCTGCCTTTCTGACGTGGACGTGCCAATTGTCTATGCAGTACGCCAGAAAGGGATACCGGGAACGAAGTTCTGGAGTTGCAGGTAAATCGCCGTTCCAAGTCCTTTTGCACTTGGCTTCATCATCTCCCCCGAGCCTCTTGTAACTATATTGGTCTAAAATATCGACCATACCGTCATCTGTCTCGGATCCTCCGTCCAAGTGGATATGCTTTTTTACCTGTTTGGTTTTGACGCCGGCGAGGCATTTTGAGCCAAGTATGTAGGAAATGCATACTTGAGCGAGGCGACTGTGTGTGGAACCGCGATCTAAAATAGGATAAGATGTTGTACCAGTCGTCGATACAATATGCTTCTCTGGGCTGCGGGTCGACCCATTGAGAAACTCGGTTAAAGAGTGATGAACTACTGAGACCGTTTCATCTGGTAAGATCTCTAAAAGAGGGCCACAGCTTGTTCGAACCAGCTCCTTGATTGCCCTAAAATCAGAGAGGTCCATGTTTTGTGTCTTATTGATCATTTCAGCAATCTCCAGCAACCGTAGTGGTCGTGAAGCATGAGTGACCCATGAGAGGATGAGGATCTGGAGATGTTCAGGTACCCCAGAACGAAGAATATGTTGCTGTAACAAGTCCGTATATAGAACGTTCAGATCTGCCGGCAAAGCCTCCATAACTTGCATTACATCTGCCCCTGGCTTAAGAAAGGCTTCCATTGCCAGCTTGGCGTAGAGAAAGAGTCCGTTGGCCCTGCCAGGGACAACTCGCTTGATTTGAGCATGTAGATCTACCGGAATGGAAGAGTGTTCTAAATGGTGCCCAACATAGGTAGCAATATCAATATCAATGATCTTCTCCTCCAGCCTTATTTCCTTCATTGGAATCTGCCGCATCGGAAGCTCAACTCGTGGAACGGGGCGGCTCGTAGCAACTACCTTGATGTGGGCTGGTCGCCACCGTCCAAGCTCGGCAAGCTCCTTGAGAAAGTCCTCATTACCATCGTCTATCTCATCAAGCGCATCCACGACACAATATACCTTGGGCAAATGACCTAGGGCAATCTTGAGGCCTTTCCAAAGGTCATTCATTGACTTGATCGCCAGCGTCTGTCTATGTTCGAGGTATTTGTCCAGCTGTGCCTGCAACGGCGGGCTGTAGACCACCACCTGATCTAGCCAGTCCCGTAGCAGTGCAATGGGGGCATGATTGGCGTCAATGATCTGGCGGAAGAAGAAGTACAGCACCGGAACGTCTTCTCTCGATAACCTGTCAACCAGGCTCCCAGCGATGACGGACTTGCCGGACCCGGGAATGCCTTTGATCAGCAGCATGCCATGCTCATGGCTCTCGTGCCATTCTGTGTAGCTTGGGGCGTTCCAAAGCCAGTCGCCTGTGCCAGCGAGGTGCGAGGCCCGATGCTTGCTGCACTCACTATTCTCTGCGCTGTAGGAAGTCGGCTGGAGCCAGGCACGGATCGCCTCCACTTTCTCGTCAGGGAGGGGAATGAGCCCTTCTTCGTTGAAGTCGCGCAAGTCGTTTCGACCGACCACAACGGCGTCGTCATCCCACGGCTGCTCCTTTGGTGCCATGACTATTCTTGTGTGACTTGCAATTTGGAAGTACGGTCGGATGACTCCTTGGCCATTTATATCTGCCGGTGGATCGAGCGGAGAAGCGCCGCATCAATATCAATGGCGGCTGAAACGGGCAAGATGCGACGACCGTCAGCGATTATGCAACATGGCCCGTGTATTGACCTACGATTGGCTGGGCATGGCTCACATACTATACTCTTTACTATTACTTTTTCTGGCTTTATTCGGTTTCTAGTATTTCCTGGACTCCCCCAGCACAGTCAAGCCTAAACAGTTGCTCGTTCATTGGGACTTGAAGCGCGTACAAGGACACCTGTCTTCAATGTCCCATAGATTTGCTTTACTCTGCAATCAGCATCATGAATGTCCGCAGCCGTCCCCAAGCTATCCTGAAGCTCTCTGTCTAGCGCAAGTAGCGTGGCAGTTGCAGAGCTCTTTAGAATTGGCACGCAAGATCTCCTTGTCACAGCTATTGTGAAAATGACAAAAATGGTTGATAAGACGACCTCACCTGCCAAGAACCCCAACCAACCCCATCTCACATGTACATATACCTCTTCTCTCCAAGCCGTACCGGGAATAGGCTCAGTTGATGCTTTGGACCTGATGCTATCACAAGTTGGAGTTAACACACGGATTGAAAATAGATTGTATGTAAACTTACTGGTTGGTCATTTGAGTTGCAAGTCCATCAAAATAGGCCCGAACCCTCTCGAGCTGCTTCTCGGGGTTGATAATATCCCTATCGCGTCCATAAACTGCACCTTTGAGCCACAAACCGCTGTATCCATCCCTCTTCGTGTTTCCCCCGTCTTTTTCCCAGGTTACCATTCCCTGCATCAACGAGTTGAGCGATCGAGAGGTCGTTACGGCGGTTCCAAAACTGAAACTGAAGCTTTCTTTTGTATTTTTCTAGTTGGCGTACTCTTGATTTTGGTCTATCCCAGGAGGAAAGGACAAATTTGTACTTGCCTCCTGGGAGTTGTATGTGCTGGGCATAATGCAATCAACAGTATCTGAGCCCGACCTAAGAGTAGGGCAGTGAAGCTTTGGGATCTCCCTAACTCTACCTTGTTCATCTTTCAAGAGAGATGATGACAAGGTTCTCTGTTGTGTACGAGACTTTCCTTCTTTTACGCTAGTATCGTACTCATTGATACACATATATATCAATACTTCTAGTGCACCAAATTCGGGCTGCTGGTGCTGGTGTTGTCGTGTCTTATCAGTGCTCTCTGGTGAAAAGGGGCTACTGTCGTTGTCAGCGGCTCGGGAATGGATGATGAAGTGATTTGCTAACGCTGCTGGGTATCCTGCGTCTTCATGGAAGCTAAGTGATGAAGCGTTCCCTGGCTGGGTCCACAGAGAATACGTGGCAGTGGTTCTCAAGTGTATCCCATTTGGTAGCGCGGCAGAGTATGTTCGTGTATGGCTGTTATCCTTAAATCCGCCTTCGCCAGAGGCGATCGTAGAGACATTTAGAAACTGACTGACGTCCTTGACCTTGGCGCATACTGTAAGTGAGAGGTACTTTTTGAAGGAGCAGGTTGCTGTTGGACAGCTCGCTACTAATGGCATTGGCTGAATATCTGGGCTTGACTGAAGTTCATTTATTATTGATTTTTCCCCGGCGATATTAAATTGAAAATTTCGCGAAGGATTCCAATGAATGGCAGCGTGTATCTTGCCACGGCCCTCATCTCCCACGGGCCTTGTTGGAAAAGTGAGAGCCTGCTGGGTGATAGGTGATGTTAGGACACTTGCTATCGATATCACTCCTGCAAGTGAAATTGGGTGTCTACTCATGTGAGTTTAATGAATGAAACTCCCCCTTTTCTATGTTAAAGAAGACTTACCGCCACCTGAACCGACCATCAGCCAGCAAGAACCCCAAAAGCCGCGGCTTGCGAGGTCAACCACTTCAGAGTCGTGAATAATGCGTCCTTTCGTGTTATTATATATATTCCACTTCCATTGGCTGATACTTTCGGCGATGGATATCATAAACGAAGCCTTAGATGTAGTCGATAAGAGAGCGAGGAAAGCATTCAGTGTGATATCAAGTGGCCATGTTGGCCGTTGTTTCTGATCGTACATCCGGAGCACGACGACGATAACTGCACATTTGAGCAAACGGAATCCCTTCAGCACCCAATTATAGTCCACGTACCAGTGAAAGTTGCATAGCCGCAAATACAGAAACCGCATTCCGGCCACCAGCCCTTCCAAATACTGACCCTGGCGGTTACGGTTGGTTCACCTCCCAATCTAGATAGATTTCCGGTTGGCAATATGTTGACTGGTGTGTTTTTTGATCCAAGTGCATCAAGAAAGCCCCTGAGTCGGAGGTGTAAATATTGACTATGGAGGACATTGTTGCTCCTTTGGCGTCACTCTTATACATTTTCGGGCCCTGACCCGAAACAAAAGGGAGTGTAGCTGAGGCTCCGGTAACTTATGAAGTATCGCAATGAGACACTTTGAACGGATGAGTGTGCTATATTTGTCGGGATCGCTCACAGTAGCGCCGAGACATATGCTGCAAGCTGCGCCCCAGCCTTAGTATCGGACACAAGCCCTCATCCATGAGCCTCCCTGGCGATCAGAAATCCCGCTTTGAGATCGGAAGATGAGATATTTCGAGGTTGAGTTCGCGGTCACTGGATGTGGCCACTAATCAGCTGTTATCCTAAAATCACTTTCCTAGTAAACACTGTCCCTTATTTCTCACTTGATCGGCGATCATCGGCTTCCAGTTTCTTGATTTTCTGATCGTTGCTCATATGTCTATTAGTTGAATAGCTGCAAGCCTGGCCCATTTAGACTGCTGTTTCATTATTTTTGATCTTATGACACTTATTGGTGCCTCTACTTACTACAGTATCTCTAGAGACATATTCTCTGCGGTGCGAATCAGTACCAACGTCGCAAATGCTTGGCTCCAATCATCCTCTTGTAGCTTCGGGCAATTACACGCGTACCACGGTTGAGTTTTGACTAGGATCGCGATCTGAAGAAGTATATCATGGTTTTCAAAGACATATATGTCGCAAAATAATGTATTCCAGCTGCTGGAGCACCACTTTTCTTGATGTTGCGCGGCCCTTTGTTACCATTGCTTGCTTTTTTTCTTGATTGAAACGTAGTTCCCTCCAAGCTGTCCTGTCTAAAAGTTTGAGTAAAGCCACAGACCACTGGCTCAGAGGCTTCACCCCATAACTGTATTTTGTTGCTACTTTTACTTCTTAGGAGTAGAACCTTCGTCGGTAAGATTATTGGTGTGAGGCTGGAGAGCCCAACGGTTGCCTGGGCTGAAAACATAGGAACAACACTGCTAAGTCAGTCAAGGATTTCATTCCAAAAGCATAATAGTATATACGAATCTACTCGAATTCAATGAAAGAAACGGCTTCAAGTAACTGCTTGCAGGCGCCCCAGTGTTTGGGGAAAATACTAACCAACCAGAAGCCACGGAAAATTATGGCCAAACATGGAAGCAAGCCCCCCTTCTTCGCCTTTCCCAATTCTGGAGAGGCCCCAGCTACTCTACAATTTGATATGAGAGAGTAGTCTCGAATGGTGGATATCCTTGTGGCGGAAGTACGATGATTGCTGCCAGAATAAAATTGTGTCCCTAAATCTCTTCACGTTCTGATTGGGCGCTGGCTCCATCAAGATAGCGCTCAACATGTGGTTTCGGAACGGCCCTATCTGAGCATCGGAATCTCGGAAACCTCATCGCCTTAGGATTCTACATGCTTCAGAAACTAAGCAGGCTCATTGATATTCATTCTCTTCATTGTCTCTTTTTCCGTATCTCAGATATTTGCCAGTATCATAAACCATTATGACCGCATCCGCTTCATCTGTCCTTCAAAGGAAGGCTGTCATTCTCTCTAAATTTCTGTGCCGTCTTCAACAAGCCGTCCAATCGCGTGAAGGTCAAGATGCGTTTCTTCTATTCATGGGCGAGACATCTCGCTTGCTTGCGGTTTTGCTTGAGCTGTTGAAAGAGTCACTCTCTAAGATTCACCACACCTCACGGCTTTCTTCACAGTCGGCGTGGATTAAGGCACTTAGCCCTGCGATGGCCAAAGCCGCTGGTCGTTTTCAAACGCTGGCGGGATTCCTGGACGAGTGGCAGATGATCAATCGAATGTTTGGGTTGCTCGATGTGCTTGTTGGGACTGGGAAGTTTCTTCGGGAAGTGCGCAGGAGAAAAAAAGAAAACTTCGCCGTTGACCGCAAAGACATCGCGTTGGAAGGCCTGCAGCACGTTTCAATGATTTTCTTCCACTTAAGCGAGGGGGCGGCATGCTTGGCTTCAAAAAAGATCCTAACTCTGCCATCCAAAAGACAATATCAGTTGTCATTTGCAGCCGTTAGAGCGTGGGCCGTATTCACCTTTCTTGATCTAACCCGGGGCGTTATAGAGTACAAAAAGATGACAAAGCGAGGAGATGTAACATCACCTCATAAGGAACAAAAAGAAGGAGGACAGGATATGCAGCAATGGAGGAGCCAGTTCCTGATCAACCTGGCGTGGGCTCCTGTGACGGTGCACTGGGGCGTCGACGGAGGCCTGCTCCCTGATTCGCTGGCCAGTCTTCTGGCAGTCTATGCCACCAGCGGCATATTTAAAGACGTGTGGAAACGGACTATCTGAAACAACAATGGAATGGAATGCGCTGTATCTTCGGGCTGTATGATCCCCTCTAATCTGCATCCGGTGTACGCAACACGCCTTTGACAAATATTTAGACAATTGCCTTTGTTTCATCGTTTCTCTTTTTCCCTCCGGGGTCTGTATAACATTTTCCCCAGTCAACACGGGGAAAGAAGTTACAGATCATATAGCATATTCGAGATCTGCTATTTCTTCGTTTTCCTGTTTCTGGAAAAGGTCACATTTGGACAGCTATAAACATGCTTGGTCAACATAGATCCTCTCTGATTCCAGTCTAAACCTGCTAAGACTTGACACAGGGCAAATTTCTAGTCTGGTTACCTGGTGACTTCCAAGCCCCTGCCACATTCAATCAACCAGAAGAGGAAGATAGCTTGCGAAACTAACTGGAAGCGCAAAGATCTCGCACTGATGATAATCGCGAGCCTCGAGATCCCCATTGCCAATGTCACACCATCTGAATTACGGAAGCCAAGCCCCTAGGGGTCATTGGGACGAGATGACTATCGTCAATGAGAACAGTAAACGGTACCTGCTTAGTCAATTCAGCGAGTTGGCCAATCTCAAAGCTTTGTATTGATCACGCGCTTAGACGTTATTTATTACATGCTGGATCTGAGGAAGAATAGACAAATGCGCGGCATACGTACATAGGTGATTAATAGATGGGTTACGTCAAGGCTTGATGCATGGATCTGAAAGGCAGATCGGTTGGGCAATGAGGCTTGAATATGGCTTCAAAATGCATTGCGTTGGGTGATTGATTGATGCTTCAGGGGTGGAATTACACAAACAATACCTACGTGGCCAATGAGTTTTCTCACGTGTAGAGGCGCGATGTGCAATTAGCAGCTACGATAGTAAACCTGCTATTGTGTGTCTGGTATTGTATATCTTAGAATTTGCCTACTTTACCTGTTATCGTCATGTCTATTGTTGTGCTCAATTGCTCCTATTGTCACGCCTGCCTTCGGGTCATACCTATTGTTGTATTTGAGCTCACTGTGTCTATAACTTATTCATTATTACCATATCCATTGATGTAGGATCTGCAGCTTGGGGAGCTGGGCTATAAAAACCACTCTTACCCTCTTAGAACCGGGCATCTTCTGCATCTTATTCCACCACATTCAATCGTATTACCCTTTCTCTCGGAAACCAACTTTAAAAGATCACTTTCTTTTCCTCTTTGATAACTTGACATATCAAACTTACATTCACAAGTCTCATCACCCTGATATTCAGTCGCCAACCCAAGATGACTGGTCAACGCAAGACAAGTGGCCGACGCACGACGAGTGGCCGCCGCAAGACGGATGGCATGCCTGAGGTTGGGGAGCGAGCCAATGTTCTTTTCCACCTCGAACCCGTAAACAGGAGGACAGAAAGACTTTTCAAAGACGCTGAGAACAGTCCCCTCCAGGCCATTGATGACTACGGAACAGTCGTTCTTGAAATCGGCCATGTAATGTCTGTATGGGGCTCGAAGACACTTGCGTGCATTGGACGGCATCGTCTCGACGTCTGCTTGTACGACCCATCAATTTCCGTCTTCCAATGCTTCTTCGAGATTAACCGAAACACAGGGGTCATCATGTTCAATGACATTTCAGCTCGGAGCACCAGTCGTTTTATCGGATCCAATGCAACCGACTTTCCACCCAACTTGCCGCGCCGCGTGGTTATTCTACCACGTGTTAACACCCAAATACAGCTGGGCCACGAGGGCGTCATCCAGTTTAATATTGTTTGGAATGACAGACATCCTCAAGGTGCAATTGCCGCTGCCCAAGCGCTTCCCTTACCCCATGGCATTACTGACAACCAAGAAATAGGAGTGCGGGGTGGTGGCATCACGCCTAGGCTCACCCGGCCAGAATCTAAATCACCTTCCATTTGGAACGCTAACATCAAATGGACCAAAATTGATGATCTTGGTGCCGGCGGGTTCGGGATGGTGAGCAAAGGCATCAACCTGTTTACGGGCGAGTTCATGGCTGTCAAACAGCTCAAGCAGAGAGTACCTCCCGACAATCGAGACTAGAAGTCTATGAAAAGGGAGGTTAAAGCTCTCTCAAAGATCCACCATGTAAGTTCTCCATGCCATTTACTATCCTACTGAGGTTACTGCTGCTAACAATATCTGGCTGAGTAGCCCCGTATTGTAGAGTTTTACGGCTCCAGTGGTCACGATACTGGGTCGATCAAGATGTTCATGGGCTTGAGAGACGGCTCACTTGCTAGTTTTCTCAAGAAGTACCCCGGAACATCACGTATTGACCTCGCTCAGAGGGTCCTGCGCCAGATGCTCGAAGCTCTTGCTTGCGTCGCCTCTCACAATATGATCCATCATGATGTGAAACCCGACAACATCCTCTACTCCATGGGGAGCTGCCTAGAATCAACCGAATTCTTTCTTTGCGACTTCGGCCAGGCATACAAGGGTGGTGTAGATAAAGAATGCGGTGGGACTCGGCTCTTTAGGCCACCCGAAATCTTTCAGAGACGACCCAACACGCCCAAGGTCGATATATGGGCCCTTTTCGTAACCATGCTGGAGATCTTGGATGAGAAGGACTGGCGAAGGCGATCCAGGAAGTGCGACGCGTCAGCCAACAGCCAGTTCCATCCGATCGAGCTTGTTGAAGAATTTGCGGACGATGAAGAGACCGAGGCCTACACCTTCCGCAAGATGGCACGAATCGACCCTGACAAGCGCTACTCGGCTGAGGTATGCTTAAAAAAATACTTCAGGGCCAGACCAACTTAGAGAGTAGTTGAGAGAAGTCAGATGTCTCCCCAATAGACTAATATATATGGTTTCCTAGACGGCTGATTTCTTCTCTTTTAAGGTCCCGCAATTGATGCTAAAATCAAAATGAGTGGCAAGGCTGGTTCAGTTTGATTAACGTAGGATTGCTACCAATTGGCACAATATTGAAGGTAGAGCCTTCTGGCTGTATGATCTCTTCAAGCCCAACTGATTTGTGACAGGCTGCTCGAGCCTTTGTCTGCACTGATTGCCTCCGGCAGAAAAATCAACATCGTGTGCTCATGATGTATATCGTCATAGCTGAAATCCCAAACCAATGTGCCTTTATGCAAGTGAGCCTGCATAACCATCCCACTGTGCAATCGACTAAGGGCAAATGGCCATTTCTCTATACTATTATGACTTCCATATTCATATCGAATCTCTTACGTTAAACTAACGTTCAATACAAGCGGCGTCATCCGACACTGAGGCCAGGATCGCGTTAGGGCAAGCGGTGTCCCAAACATTCCCATCCATCATACGAGGCTTCACTCAACTTCCTTGCCATCCGAGACTCTGGAAGCGCCCTTCACCCTGGGCTAGCCCGAGAGCTCCACAAGTGAGAATCCTACGCCACTCTCTTTTGGCTGTAGCCCAGCCGCCTCCGCAGCATTGAAGAGGCAGCTGAGAGGACGCCAAAGCCTAATGCGTCTCGATGTCAGCAATACCCCTGGCACAAATCTCTCGAGGCGATCCCGGCACTTGCGCCTCCTGCCAAGATCAATGCGTATACGCTGCTTTGCCGCACCTGTCCAGCAGGTATATATAGGCGGATGGCAGACACCGACATGGCACACAAAGGGATTCCATTCCTAAGCCAGTTCTCTAGGTAGCCGTCTTCCGAATCTTCAGCATGGCATTCACCAAATCGGCTTGGAGCCTTGTGCTCAGCGCTGGCCTGTCCGCCGCCCTGACCCTGTCCCCCGTCCCGCCCCAGGTGGACGGTGCCTGGGTCGTATCCGGCATTTCCTTCTGGAAGTCGGCCAAGTACACCTTCGAGAACGGCCTGCCCGATGGCTTGCAGATCGCCAACTGGGATACCGGTCTCAACTGGCGGGCTGACCAGGCAAACGCCAAATTCAACAACGGGTACCTGGAGCTCTGGGTCCCTGGTGGCCAGAACCCTCCAGCCGGCACCAAGTATGTCGGTGCTGAGGTGGACACGCTCGAAAAGAATATTGCATACGGCAGCTTCCGCACCGTTGCTATCCTGACTGAGACCCCTGGTGTTTGCAATGGTATGCATCTTGACCCGTGAAGCCTGCCGTGGCCGCCCCAGCACTAATCAATCACAGGCATGTTCACCTATGGTGGCAACACGCAAGAGTCCGACATCGAGTGGCTCTCAGACCCCAATAATACGTCCGACCGTGGCGTCAACCACTTGTGGATGACCAACCAAGCTGTCAACGGTAACGATGCTGACAAGACGTCTATTCCTGTGACCAAGCCCGCCAATCCCTTTGAGGAGCACGAGTACCGCATCGATTGGCTCTACGACCGCGTCGAGTGGTATGTCGATGCCGTCAAGGTGGCTGAGACGGACCAGAACATCCCATGGCAAGGCTGTGTATTTGCCGTCAACAACTGGTCCAACGGCGACATCGGTTGGTCGGCGGGCCCACCTGCACAAGACGCAGTCTTTAAGGTCAAGTCTATTGAGATGTACTATAATACTCTGGAATAAAAACTGGCAAAGATGTCTGTGGGGATGTAGATACACAGAGTGGTGGCCGGTATCAAAAAAGAGGATGCCATTTTGGTGCGTATTCCCTTGGAGAGGTCTTGGATAGGTTGTGAGAGTCAAAAAATTCCGAATTACATACGATTCGGGATTCATTGGTGCCAGATTCGAGAGCTGCAGAGATTTTATATGGTCACGGTGCCGCCCGTGCAGATACCTATTGCTACCTCAATGACAACGTAGCATACCTTCACATAGTTCTTTAGCCGAGGTTCTAGATCATCTCACACGTCATACACCCTTGTTTCACCATGATATCTGGGGTTGTCATCGAAATCTTTTCTACGGATCTTTGTGTACGATTCTCTTGCGACATGAACGAGGAAGGACGCAGATAAGCTGCCTCTCCACCCAAAAACGATCCCAATAGTTAGAAACGTTCCGGATCTACCCTCAGAGGATGTTTCACTCCATATACACTTGGCCAGGCACAAGGAGAGATATGAATTCATTACATCTGTTGCGATTGCCGAGCAACCCATAGTCTATGAGATTGGTAAGTAGCAATGGACGGCTTAGCGGGAAGTGGGAGCATCTCAGGACACACATGACGGAGTACATGTGAGTGAGAAATTAGAAATTATGGATTTAATTTTCCATATATATGGATATTTACTATAAGTACCTATTGTAGCTATGTTATATCATCTTGCTTAAATAATAATGAGCTGGATAAATGGTTAGCCTCAGCCGAAAAACGTTCAAGGAGATGAAGCTTCATCTTACCTCAATCAGCTTCTCCGTCAGCTCGAAGCAGTCGCGCTGGTAGTCCTCCATTGAACCCATTGAGCACGACTGCCAGAGCCCCCCAAACCCTTTGCCTTCAAGGACATCTGCGACGTTGGTATTTAAGTCCAATTGCCGCACGTATCTCCTGTCTGATGACAGCGTGCGGAGTAGCGTATGCGCAGCATCTAGTGTAGTGGCGTTTTGCCCATGTAGCAGCACGTCGTCGAGGATTGAGCGCATCGTGCTACATCTAAATCACTCTAGTTAGCCACCATTTCACATGCTACCCATGCACTGGGCGTCATCATAACTTACAAATGAAGCATGACTTGTGGGCGCGCCTGTGCCAGTTCGTTTAACCACTGGAGACTGCGCGCCTGAACTGTATCCTCCAAAAACTGGAAATCGACCATTTCCATAGCTGTAATCAACAAAAGCTCATCGTCCTCAAAATTATTCACGTTTCGGTTGTCTTGGGTAGTCCCTAGCGCAACATCGGCTTCCTCAGGGCTGATACCCGCGAGCCACAGGCTATCCTTGAGCTCTTCGGGGCTGACTGCCCTCGCACGAATCAGTGCGAGATATGGGGACGAAGCAATAGCATCACTATTATTTGCTCCAGGGCCCGGTACCCAAGTCGTCATTGCTAAGAAGGAGGAAAGCACACGAAGTGCTGACGGCCTTGTGATGGTGTCAGTGAGGCCACGGGCCACACAGGCACACACCGCGAAATGAAAGTTCTCCTGATTAAAGTAAATGCCATATGTTTCGTCCAGAAGAAGCGCTGCTTCTTCAAGTTGCGTTCTGCCTTGGAGTAATAGCTCAACCATATCTTGGCCCCGGACATCGCCAGCAGAGCCGATATTCGTCAATACTGCTTCAAGAAATTGGGCAGCACAATTAAATAACGTCGTGGGGACCAATCGAACGAGTGAAATGGCAAGCCAGAAGAGCTGCAGGCCATACCGCGAGGCAGACGGCAGCTTGGCCATCATCTTGGAGAGAGATGTTGTGATGGACACCAGCATTTCACTGTTGCTTTCCTCATCAAAGCGATTGACACTGTTGCGCAGGGCCACAAGAACCTGATATAACAGATCGTCATCTACTTCTTCCCGTGCCAAGTATCCCATGACGGTAAATGCTCGAGGTTGAATTGCTGGGTTGTTCTGAAATGCGGTGCTGGCAACCAGGCTCATCCAACGTGACCGCCACGCATTGCAAATATCAACTGAGGGAGCGGCGGTTGAACAAACATCGAACAAAATGGCAGCCAGATGCTCTGTTGCTGCGAGAGTGGCCCCCGAGTCTTGGATAGTAGAGATAGAGGCCCCTTCGCGAGTCAAAGTCGGATGCGTTGGGAAAATGTCTCCTCGAGGCTCACAAAGAGTTTCAAGAGTTGCTCTGAGCCTACTCGCCTTGGCATCATCCAACACGAAGCAGGTGCACGCTGCATGAACCGAGTTGATGAGCAGCTTGTATACCAGCATCCTTACAGCGTGGTTGCCAGTATTTGATAGCATGGTTACAATGTGAAACACCTCGGGCAGGAATAGCTGTGTCTGCACTCCATGGTTGAACGACAGAGCAAGACAGAACTGGAGAAGCATACAGATCTCTGCCCAGGCTGCATTATCTGGAAGATATTTTGTTGGTCTGTACGATGAGCGGTTGAGAGCCTTGCGAAGTCTGGCCATGACCTTTCCACGAAGCGTTACACTTCCAATCCCAACAACAATGGATGATATAATGTCAAGCGTTTCTTCATGAACTCCATAACCCATTGCCGTTTTCATAAGCTCATCTAAAAAGATGTCCAACAGCACTTCGTCATCGGCGACTTCTGGCCACACGACTTGTTCTAAAGTGTAGACAAGTGTATGATCAAGAATCGCCACATCGATGAGTTTCCGGAAGAGTATCGCAACCCTTTCGCGGCCTTTATCGGGATCAGTTTCGGAGACCAACACGCTTGTTCGAAGTCCGGGTAACCATGGCGCCATATAGGCCAAGCTCTGCGCTTTTTGGTGTTCAGGAACATTCTCCCATCCAACGAAGAATTCAGTGAGGAAGTCCGACGTCAGTTGCGGCTCTGATTGAGCAAGCTGCTTACTGATCTCGACGATAAATTGGACTGAATCGGGAGGGATTGAGACATCTATTGAACCATTAGTATTGTCACCATACATCAGTTATAGCCATATCATGAAACCGACCTCGGGTGCAGACAAGTCTCGAAGCAGAGCTGAACTTGAAAGCTTTGCAAAGAGCGCCGAGCAGGTTATAAGATGACAGCCTGAGTGTCTGGTCAGGACTCGAGAGGTTGGTAAACGCGAGATTCAGTAGAGTTCCCGGAACATCTTGTGGTCGAATCAGCCTTTCCGGGGGTTTGTGGGACCTGCTGTCTTTGCCGTATTTCGTCTTCGCGTTGCGAATGCTCATCACAATGTCTGCCTTCTTCGGGCTGGTAAAACACATGACAATCTTCCCATTGTCAGCCCGTAGGCCAAACGTTGAATCATCCTCAGACTGGATTGACGCAGCAGTTTCGTCGATGTCCCCGAGACGGAAAATGTCGTTCACTATAGTGCTTAGGCGGAAACCTGCGAAGACCTCTTGCTTTTTTGCTGTTGTGATCTGCACAAACTGGCTTCCAACTTTGATAGCAACTTCTATGTTGCCTTTTGATCTGGATAATCGGGTAACTGGCTGATACATGTAGCGGGTATCTGTCACGACACTAATAGTCTCCTTGGGTAGTTGAAGCTGGTTCAGCTGGAAATGCGCTTGAAGCTCTTGGAGACTACCTATAAGGTGATACTCGACATTTTTTGGGTGGAACACGCTTCCTTCACCTCTCGTGCTGACACGTAGAAGTCGCCGAAAGCATCGCCTAGGAAATTATGTCTATTAGACCAAATAATAGATTGAGTCAATAGCAATCTGCGTTACTTACTTGAAGGCGCTATTCATATTGTAAATGTACACACGTGAAAGACTTCGTGACAGTTCCGTGGGTGTCAGTAACTCAAGCATACGGAATATGTCGTCTTGTGGCTCGTTTCGGCCATTGAAACAGGTAGCGTCGATGAAAAGTCCAAACGGCTCATGCCAGAGCCTACTTGCAAGCTAGTTTGAGTTAGTGAAAAGACCCTGTAAATACTGGAAACGTAGTAAGGCTGTTTAACTACCTTGAAGTAACAGAACAATAGGGTATCATAATCAATTCCTTCTGATTCAATATTTCGAAGGATAACACAAATGATGGAAAGGCCATCCTACATCGTTTGTGTGAGAACTTCAGTCATATTTCATCGTTCCCATGGGGTATGCTTACCTTGCTCTCGCCTCCATCATACACTGCACGGGCGGTAAGGAATGATTCGGACCCTTTGAAGGCATTCCGTAGCATAAAGTTTTGGAAACGAGAATATAGAGGTGGGTTATTAGATGAAATCCCTGGGCGATTCCACGATATGGCAAGCGGGGGTGGCCCAAGATTAGAGATGAGGTTGCGAAATGGTTCTAGAATGGGGGACCGTCCACGAGAGAGCTCTCCAGGAGACCGCACATACTCTCGTCTTTCTCTGGATATAAGGGTTTGGCGAACATGATCCCAATGATCATAAAGAAAGCGATGCAGTGCCACACACGAGCCGAAGTCAAACAAATCTGCTGCCGGTCGGTGATCAATGCGATCCGGGGGAACCTAGAAAGGTGAGATAGAAGGTAAAAAGGGGGAAGGGATTTCTAGCCCAAAAACATGTACTTACTGATATTTCGTGCAAGAACCTTGTGATATCGAAGACATTGTGTACGAGGAATTCATTCAGTGAGAACATGTAGGGCTCCTTTACCCCGAAAAGCACATTGTTGGCAAGGTTTTGAATTACCTTGGCAACGAGAAGGAGCCCTCGACGCATCTCTCGGGAGGGCGCGGTCGAAACCAGCCCCTCCACATCAGGAGCAACGATCGCCGGACAGAAAAAGCGAAGAAATATGAACGCGCCAACTGCGGTGTATTTAGCCTCGGGGAATCGAGGCTCGACAGCACTCACAATCTATGCCATTAGCTACTTCGCTGACCCATCTGGAAGAATGAATACCAAAGCTTACCAAGTGGCATATTTTTCGAAAGGGTGGTGGGATCTTGGTTGATGAAGCGCGGATGTGCTCAATAAAGACTTTGGCCACGATTCGAAGCTGCTTTGCATTTTTCTGCGCCTCTTCCGCGGAACTGAGCCGGGCTGGATCAAGTTCAAGGTCAAGGTCCTCTGATGTTGACATAAGTCTCTCGATAACTTTTTGCAAAGTGTCTTTGAGATATTTAGACCCCTTCCACTTAGCATAGATAGAGAGCATTTTGGTTGCTACCGAAGTACGCCGCAGCAGCTCCGACTCATTTTCTATCAGCGTGTTAGCCACAATGCTTATTGTGCCAGGAGGTACATGTGTATCTGCTCACCAGTTTCTTCAACTTCCAACTTGATCAGCGCATCAAAGAGCTCGAAGGTAAGCCCCCTCTGTTCGAAAATGGTCAATAGGCAAACTGCGAGTTCATCCACCTCATTACTAGGGCAGATAGAACTCATTGCCATGGCAAGAGATAAATCTTTTGTCAATAACTAGATATCAAACATCAGGATATGCTCATGAAATCAGGCCATGTTCGGGCTATACTGACCTCAAGGAGCTCTTCATATTTCTCGCTTACAGCGGAATCAGTCAAATTATTGAACTCAGTTCCTTGAACGAGAATATTGTAAAGGACACGCACGAAGGCTGTTCGGATTTCAAGCTTCCCGTGATAGCCGATACTAAGCGAGTGCTTCAACCCAACATCAATATTCGCACTGAGCAAATTTGAAAGAATCGAGATTGCTAGATCGGAACTGGGAATACCTTCCTCTCGACCAATTGCAGACATCTCCGCTCGATTCGCTTCGGCGGAATCATAATTCAAGAGCGATAGGAATTGGTTAAAGTAAGTATGGAACATGCGAGACTTCATCTCACTCATTCCAGCATCCGTCTGATTATCCGAAGACTGGAGAGGTAACCGGTAGGTAAGATCAGCCAATGATTTCAGACAGGCCCGATCAAGATCCCTCTGGAGGCGTGACACATCATCCGGACGAGCATTGTTGAAACTCTGTTCCATATATGGAGATCGGGGACGAGCTACCCAGCCGAAGAGGTATTCCAGGAGCTGGTTTCTGATGCGGACATCGTCTCGGATAATCAAATGTTCTTTCCTCTTTGTGACAGCCTCACTTAAATGACACACTCGAATTTTTACCCGGAGCGTATCTGGTGTATCAGAAACACCATCTAAGAACTTTGCGAAGTTGAGTGTCAGGCTGCCAAGATGTATCGACGACGCAGCACCAAGATCGGATGGGCTCTCAAGTCTCTCCACCAGAGCTCGGAGAAGTGAGGCGCTCTGTTCGGCGAAAATGATTTCACTATCCTGACCCTTATCGGCCGCGGCGAGAGCTCCAGTGAACAGAACCTCAAGCTCCGACTCCAGCGCTCTAAACAATGACTGATAGAGTGCCGGTGATACCTCGGTTGACAGAACCTCCCGCATTGCTTCACGAACCCTGACATTGGAGCATGCGAGGAGCTGGATGCTTAATCGTAAGTATCGTGTCAAAAAGGTTTCCTCATAGCTTTCTGAAGAGAGCCGATCGATCCACCTCAAGCCCCCCAGGGCTGGTTCTTCTTGAATCATAGCCTGATCTGCAATGCAGATGCCGCCGAGAGAGGCTAGAAACCCGGAATAATTGCGCCAGTCATTCCAGGCCTGGTCATCAACGGCATCAAAAGCAGTAGTGGATACTTCTTTAGCCAGATGAATCCACCGGTCAAAGGCAGTCTCCCACGCATTGATAATCCCCGTTGTGGGAAACTGTATCCGCCGCAATAAGCCACGGATACGCTTCTGGAAAGCCACAAGACCCGTAAACCTGAAATCAGGGGAGGCGATTTCCCGAAAAACGTCGCCATTACGAAGGAGCGACGCAGATGCCTTGGCAGACTCGACCTGCTTATCGACGATAGAACACTCCTCTAGGAATGTTCCTATGCAGGAAGCCACTCGTTGACAAGTTTCGGAATTTGAGGAACAAAGCGACACGAGCAAGGTTGTTTCGAGCTTTGAAGAGGCCGAAACTACCTCAGATATGTTGTGGGGGACGTCGGACAAATCCTGGGCTGTGTGATAAGTTTCAGAAGCATCGGCGCATCAGAGAGTCATTGTCACGTACCGGAAGGTTTCTTAGCAAGAGAAGGCGAGCGCTCAAGCAGCCGTGAAGTGTATCCAGATCGGACTCGTTGGTTTGCGAACCAAGCCGTTCGCACAAGTTGAGGAGTACCTTAGAACTAGTGTCGTTGTTAGTGTGTGTAAATATGTTTGGCAATCCTAGAAGGCGGCTTTCTTGTCTACCTTCGGCTCCATATATCCTTGCAAAGCTCGTTGGAGTCTAGTTTATGTTCCTTGTAGTATGATCTAAAGGGTTCTTGATTCTTGTTGAAGAGGCTGTCGGCGACTGCCATAGCAAGATGTCGCACGGAAGCATTAGGAGACAATACACAAAGCAAGAATGGTTTGAAGAAACCGGTATGACTGCCTGAGTTTGTTAGATCGTTCAATAAGTAGTCAGGTGATGCATTGAGAAACTCCAAGATGCTGCAAATCATATCCGCGCTACTAGAATCAGAAGATGAGTTGAGAGTCAATGCTTGCATGCTATCGGCCTGTGCAAAATAGTTAGCTACTGAGCCGTCAGACGACGGCAAGGAAGGCCTACCTCCAGTTGTGACTTCATGAACGGGACAACCAGCCGGAATAACTCCTGGTACTGATACCCCTGTGGTTGCTGTGCGAAATAATGGCAACTCTGAACAGCAGCGATCTTGAAATTGCTTGGAGCAGATGGAGAAATGCAGGTTTCAACAAGACTGCCCAACGATCCTCCAAGGTTCAAGTGTGCCAAGCTCACAAAAGCGACAGTGATGGAGTCTTGATCGGACAACCCGTTCTCAGACACCTCCCCCATGGAGGGCGTTGTGGAAGAACTGTTATTGCGGAAGACTGCCTCGCGCACTTCATCTTGAACATCCATTGCGTAGCTCACCAGAGCAGAGTCACTCTCAGCATCAAAGTGACGAGCTACACGAAGGATCGAAACCAGGCAGTGGGCGGCAATCTCATGCCCATTCTTGAGAGATTTCTTCAGGCCCTCTAGGAATGTCACTTTCTTAACAACACCACCGCTTTTGACTTCCTTCAGATTGCTGGCGATGTCAAAAACATCCGGAAGCAGGAACAGAAGACTACACTGGAGAGGCCATGTTACTGCTCTACGCTTGGCGTTGTCGGAGACTCTTTGGGCCATATCGAACAACGTATCCGCAGAGCCATCCAGCCTCTTTCGTTGCAGATGAAGATGTACCATCTGATGCGGAAAGCGGTCGATCCATTTGGTGATAAGCAAAGGAACCACAATGCAGGCCGTATTTTGGAATGGCTTCCGGAAATGTAAAAAATTGGAACAGATTTCTTGCAGCAAGAGTCGTAATCTTGTGCTGTCGACCCAAGAGAAGGATAGAAGGCGAACCACTACCAAAGCATCTCGCTCTGCATCCAAGGAGGGCTTCGGGATATCAGGTCCACCACTGACGATAGTAGACCTAATACTGTAGATGGCATTTCGGAAGTAGTCGAAAGCGGACTGCCAGCTAGAAGCAGTAACATACTCTACCAAAACTTGGATGTTGGGATTCAAGTCAGCCTGGTAAGCGCTGAGAACGTTTGCGACTGTGTCCGAGCTTCGCAGTTGGGAGACGGCAGTTTTCCGTCTGTGATGCAGGCCAACTAGAGTAAGGGGAGTCAAAATATGCTCCTCAGGAAAGGGTTCAAGTAGAACCTTGAGAGCGTCCAATATGCGGTTGACTAGAGCAGCTGGGAGCGGTAGAGGTATGCGGCTTGATGCCCCATTATACGGAATTCCCACGCCCGAGCTCGTTGCGTCTTCTTGTTCATCAGTTTCGTCGTCGTCGTCATCGTCGTCATCGTCATCGACGTCATAATCATTATCCAAGCCTCCACCAATGCCCTCTTCGCTCGAATTCTTGGCTTTGCCCCTGTGTCTGCGACGAATAGAACCCCACTTTGCCGAACAGCAATCGGCAGCGAGAGCCAAGATATAGAGTTCGGAGAGCAGTACATGGTCTGGATGTTTGGATACGGCTTCGTACGGGCGCGCGAGGGTTTCAAGCAGGCCTAGGAGGTGATCGAGAACGGTTTCAATCGTGGTCTTGCTCAGCTCAATGAGGGTAGCTCGGGTTATTGGGAGAATGCCGTCGTCAGGAAAGGCTTGAGTAGTAGTTCCCGTGCGATGAGGTAACTACAAGCGGAGTGTAAGCTACTGAAGGAATGGAATGCTAGAGATCAAGAGGGTTTTTGGTGTTCACCTTGGTCGCCAGCCTGTCGACGAGGGAGCCGACAAGGCTCGCATCGGCATCCATTGCTGAAGCATTGAAGGTGGACACAATATGATCGGCTGCTGAGACTCCAGGTCCAGATCCCACAAGCTACCTCAGCCAGGTGAAAGGGGTGAGACCCAGCCTTTGCGTCGAAAAACTACCAGTCGGTTTCGAGAGCTCTTCAAGTAGGCGACCAGCTGCGCGGAATGCGAAGGCGCTAATGGCTGATAGACTACGGAGCTTGCCTAGCACTCAAAGTTGGGATGGTGGTGGTTGGAGTCTGGGGTAGGCGAGCAGTGGAACGGTACGAGAGCCGTGCGGTTGATGCAATTCGTGACAGGCTGTCTGTTTCCAAACCCGGCACCAGTGCTTCTGCCCCAAGTCAGAGTCGAGACGAACAGAAAGCGATTAATGGGCGCATGAATGTGAAGAAGCCCCAACCCAGACGAGCCAAGAAGAGACCCCGCGTGTCAGAGGCCCAATTGCGGGTACTTCAGCACACCACTGACACCACTGGCGCTACCCACATCAAGGTATGCATGCAAGGATAAATCTACGAGTCGGTAAATAAATTGAGCTCCCCAGTGCTCTGCTGGACTTCTCGACGGGTTCGATTTTTCACTGAATACACCGTACCTACCTACCTACTTAGGTATAATCAACTATCTGCGGCACAATTTGCGCCCAACGTGTAGAGACAACGTGTCCCCTATTCATCCGGGGCAAGGGCAAGGGTAACTTGTGAAGCATAGGATTGCCAATCGAATCTTATTATTCCTAATTTCAAAAACCCTTTCTTCCCACCTTATCGACGATAGGGCCTTATCACAGCTCGATATAGCACCACAACAATGACATCAACAAAATGAAGAGGGGAAAACAAAAAAGGGGTCGCAAATGTACTTGCTAGCCATTGGCTGATGTTTCTATATAGGTAGATACCTGATAAGGAGCAACTAAATTGCTGTCCCAGCAGGAATGTGGCTCTACAGCTAGATGTTCCATCTTACCGCTGGCCACGCCAGTCTCGATTTTGCCCGTTCTGCCAATGCTGTGGTGGAGGCGGTGGATAGTCACGACGATCATTTGACCCTCGATGTCCTGAATATGATCCAGAGTGCCCATGGTTTTGGCGATGGCCATTCTGGAAGTGCACTCCAGGAGGGGGAGGTGGAACTCCCATGCCGAACCCCGGTGCCCCAGGTGGTGGTGGTTGCCATGCTGGTGGATGAGATGGATAGGATCGACCCGGAGCATCGTATTGCGAGTAGGAGCCATTGCCACCATGGTATCCGCCTCGCCCACCGCCCCGGTGTCCTCCGCGTGGTCCATTGTTGTACCGGGATTCTGATCCGTAATGAATCGGCTCTCTTCGACCATTACCTTGGTCGTGTCGGCCCAGGGGAGCGCCCCCGTAGCTTCTTCCACCTCTTCTAGCTTTGCCTTTCATGACTTCGATATCGCTTCGAGTCAATTGGGCCGTTGGCAACTTGACTCCACGCAGGAGCATGGATTTGTGCGTATGTGTGGTGACTGGCATCTCAAAAATGACACTTGAAAGGGAGGACAAAGTTAGCGGTAAGAATTGGGATAAGTCGGGGGTTGAATGGTAACTTACCTTATAGAACGATCATAGTCAAGATCCGGAAGGGCCTTTCGATCCAAAGGATATTGTAGCATCCCATGGGGCACATAGTCCTCTTGTTTGATGACTTTGCCAGTAAGGCCGCCGCTGGTTTTGGAGTTCAGCTTAAACTGCGGTGCCCCTTGCTTCTTGGAGTAGAAATTAGTCAACACCTCGTCGTAAATGCCCTCGTGACTGTCCGAAAACAACAGGTTGTCTGTGCCGATATCGTTTCGCCTTGTATCATCGGCGCTGAGTAGCGGATACTTCTTGTGAACAGCTCCAAGTAGTCTTGGCATGTCAATGAATGGCAGCAGGGCCACACCTTGCCATGCGAATTTCTTCCCGTTAAGATCAACTACGAAATCTTCGGGGTAAAAATCAATGATCTCGCTATCGGGCTCCAGCATAAGCGGGTGGAAGACTTCGGGAATGGCATGGCGGGAGGCGGCAGGAAGCACACTCATGAGTTGCTCAAACGGCCTAGAAATTCGCCCCTTCTCGAAGCGAATGTCCATCTTCCCAAGGTCCTTGAAGTCCGCTGCGAACGGGGCGTAATGATAAGGATAATACCACTCCCATGAGGGGCATCCTTGAAAGTAGTACAGCAGGACCCATGCCAGCCCTTCAGCATATGCACGACCCACCTGGTGACGGAATTCAATGTCAGAAGGGTCCTTGTGGAATTTTTGCTCGTAGTATCGGTCTGCGTATCCTTCCTCCCACATTCGAACGGTATCAGTCGGTCCCTCGTCTGCTGCCGGGGCAGGTGTTTGGTTTCCGGAGGTGGTACTACCATTATCCTCCTCAAACTCGGCAGCTTTCCGTTTGCCAAGCGACGGTGGGCTCTCAGGAGTATCAACTCCCTTCTCAGCGGGAGGGAGAGCCTTCTCCGCCTTCAGTCGATTTTTAAGGACATCCGCGGCGCTTTTATTGGCTGCATTGGCATCCTGGACAGCAGCTCGGTTAACTATCATATCATGAGTGAGTGCACCGGGAGGCTTTTGCGGAAACGAGCCGATAGGATGAAGGAGATGTGGCGCAGTATGGTCTTGATTCTTGGGGTTCATTTTACCCCCAGGACCTCCATTCCTTGCTGAATTCGCTTCGTTTTGTAATTTTCTGCGCTTTGCGTTGGCTTCTCGGCGTTGCTCTTGCTCCCTTCTCCTTTTGAAGATGGCATCCTCCTGTTTTGCTAGGCCATCTAAAATGCACTGCGCTCTGTCCATGTCTATATGGCCGTCCTTGGTCACGTAGCCACCCATGGAAGGAAGATTATCTCTCCAAATCGCTGTCAATGTGTCGATTCCGTCTTCCCGAATCTCCAACGCGGGAAGATGCGGCAAGAAGTCGTTTCCAACGAAACAGCACATAAAAATCCAGTCGTCGACAGCACGCTCCAGATCAAATCGAAATGGGAGACCCGGAACAGAGAGCTCGATGGCAAGATACTCGCGAAGAACAGCCACATGCAACCAGATGAAAGGCTTCAACTCAACCGCGCTATCCTTCTCGTCGAATTCGCCTTCTTTCTCTTTGGCCTCGCCTCGACAGTTACGGGCTTCGTGACCCTTCTGCCCGCACAATTGGCAGGTTCTTGCTTTACTTTGCTGAAAGAAAACATCCTCGCGCAAAACTCGGAAATGAGGCTCGTGGGTCGCGAGACCTAACATGATCAGATCTGCATCAAGACCGTAGATTACGTGGCGTGTGTTCGGGTCATGGTCGGGGGAAGCCCTCTGCGACCGAACAAATGACATGATTTTGTGCTCGCCTTCTCCTGGAACAGTTGCATCAGATATCAAAACCTTGAGTTTTGCCCATCCAGGATCTGTATTCAGTTTATATTGACACCAGTATCGCAAGCTGGTGGCAAGGATGTCCATGAAAGGCGTTCCGGGAGTGATTGAATTGGAGTCGAATGCTTTCTTAGCGATTGTCTCTGCGTTTTCGTGGGGTAGAGTGCCGCCATTCTGCTGTTTCAAAAGCTTCAATAGCTCTTGTTTGTCTGCTTCTTTCTCCTTGGCTTCTTGGGCTGCGCGGAAGCGTCGGGATCGTTGCTGGTTCATCTTTGCTCGAGGTGCAACACCATCTAGAAATGATAGGTTAGACCATAACGTTCTCTAGTCTAGGATGATGGATATTTGGCAAGAGGGGAGTGGTTTATATAGAAAGATACGTACCAACAGCAATCATCAAAATCTTTCGCGGTCGTACCATGTTCACAACGCGGTCAGTATATCTGAAGACCTCAAGCATCATTTCCTCCTCATCTTTTGGTGCAGGCCTGTCTTCCGGGTGGGAGCAAGGGTGGACGATGCCGTTCATGTCAAGATAGAGATTGTCGAACTCCTCGCCGTTTGGGTTGGGCTTCGTTGTATCGACAGGAATCGTTGTTCCATCATCCATAGTGATAGGTTGGTCCTCTATCACTGGGGAGATGATCTTGGGATATCGGTTTGAAAGCCATCGGAAAGCGGCGGGAATACCCATGATGAAGGTGGAATCTGGTGCGGATAGAAAAGCTCAACAGGGCGCAAGACAACAGAACCCAAACGAGAGCAGGTGACAATCGCGACGGTCACAGCATGGGCCTGAAGTTCGAGAAGCCGGTGCAAGGAAACCCTAGATGGAATAGATATCAAGGGAAAGTGATCCGTTAGCAGGTCGTGCCCAGAGTTACAAGATATATGAGCGAAAAGAACGACCGACTCGGAGGAGTGTAATGCCCTTGATGAGATAGATATTCGTTCAGTTGCTTTGGTAGAGGAAGAAGAAATGGCTGCGATGCGAAAGCGTCTGTTGGAAAAGTTAGCGGGTCCCTGGCGCAGAGTCCAGTTGTTAGTTACCTTGGGTGTACTTTTAATTCCAATACAGTCTGGCTAGAGCTCAAGGTAGAACAAAAGTATCTTCTCCTTGAAGCATGATGGACCCACTACAGTGACTCGCCCCGCCTCCAGGCCCTGCTGCCAGTCCTATTGGCGCGCGCTCTACCTTGTACATGCATATCTTATCTCTGCCCGAGCTAAGCTTGCCATGCACTAAAGAAGTAGCATGTAGCTAAAGGGACGTGTTCTGAATGCTGGTAGGATGATCCCCTTAAGCTACCCGTTAAGTGGACAGCTTCATGGCCACCTGTTCCAACTTGCGCTTCGCTGAGGTAGCCGAGACCATGCGCTCCCGTCGAATTCTCAAGACTCCAATGATGAGCGGTTGAGATTCCGGTGAGTAGTGTTTTTCACTATCATAGTATTCTCCAAAGGCGCATTGACATTAACCCACACGGCTCAGCCGAGAAAACTTCACAGCAAGACAGTAGCGACCATCTTGCTATCGAATAGTTCGCCCCATCGACCATCGACAACCGCCGTGCGCCTTCAACCCTACTGCTCCCATACAAGCCGCGGTTCTTCAAAAACGGGTGTCCTGGTTGGTTAAGGTGGGTATTGACGGCTGCCCAATGGCAGGGCACTCCAGCCAGTTGTAACCATGTTCTCGATATCAACTACACCGGCGATACAGTCTGTCAGCGAGACCATAACTGTTCTAAGTGGCCGCTTAGCCTCGTCGACGCTTCTCGAACACCGTCGTGCATCTATTCTGGGCTTGAGGAGTTTCGCTAAAGACTATCCTGCTTCGGTTGCCTCAGAAGCATTAAGAGGGCTCATTGGGAGCTTGAGAAAGGATGGCGAGGACATCGATACGGTGAAAATAGTCCTCGAGACACTCTTGATGCTATTCAGCCCTAACAAGGGCAGCCCTGAAGCGTCAGATGAAATCGCACTTTGGCTAGCTGATGAGTTCACGCAGCGACTGGAGAACATCACATTGCTTCTTGACTTCCTAGATTCCGGCGACTTCTACGGGCGCTTGTATTCTCTCCAATTGCTTTCTGCCATCTTGTCTGCTCGGCCTGAGAGAACAGAGGAGTGTATTTTTACTGCCCCGCTCGGTATCTCGCGGCTAGTTTCCATTTTGGATGATCAGAGAGAAGCTATTCGCAACGAAGCTGTTTCACTATTAACCTACCTCACCCTGACGTCTGTGGATATCCAAAAGCTCGTAGCTTTCGAGAATGCTTTCGAGAGAATTCTTAAGATTGTCGACGCTGAGGGCTCTCTCTCTGAAGGCGGTCGAGCTGTAGAAGATTGTTTAATCTTGCTGGCCAATCTTTTACGGCGTAACCCAACAAACCAATCTTTGTTCCGGGAATCTGGGTTTATTAAACGTCTGTCAGAGCTCCTGGCAAGCTTGCTTCAGTTTCAGAGTCAAGAAACGGATATCGCCGAATGGGCTCTCGCCCAGAGAAATCGCATCCTGTATGCATTCTTATCTGTCCTCCGGCTTTTTATTACCCCAGGATCTGCGGCTACCCCTCAAAACCAAGTGGCGTTCTGGAAACATGGTCTTGGATTCAATGTTCTCCAATTGGCATTCAGCCAAGAAGCCCACTCTCAGATCAAGGCCGAGGTGAGTGTGTCTCTCCCGAAAGGTCACTGCCAGTCTCATTAACTCGAGCCCCATAGGCACTTTTGACCAGCGGCAACATGATTGAGAAAAATTCCGAACTCCAAGAGTCATTCGCGTCTCTCATGGTTCCCTCTCCGCTTAAAGATGCGAAGCCAGCTGAAGATTCTCAGGGGCCAGAGAAGGTCTATGTAATTGATGGCCTACTTGACCTTACACTTGGCTTGCAAGATCCAAGCGCATTCGATGTTCGGTTCTCTGCATGCGAGTGCCTGAAGGCGTATTTCTCAGATCATTCTGAGGTCAAAGCGCACTTCTTAGGAAGGGCCATGATGGGCTATCAATCCGATGAGGATGAGACCACAAATGTGCTGACGATGCTACTAAACCCAACTGCCGCAGTGAATGCAAGCGATCCATATAGACTGTGGTTTGCCGCTGTAATCGTTTTCCACCTTTTGTACAATAACCCAACAACAAAAGCGAAGGCCCTAGAGCTAACCGAAGGTGACCACTCTACTGGTGAAGAGGTTGTCACAAGCATTCAAACAATGGCCGCTCATCTCATAACTGGCCTGCGGCGGGACGATGACCCAAGAATTTTAGTGGGATATTTGATGATCCTCCTGGGCTGGCTCTATGAAGACATGGACGCTGTGAATGATTTCCTAACCGAAGGCAGTAATGTCCAGGGGCTGATCCAGGCCGTTCTACAGCCTAATACCCCTGGTGGCGAGCTGGTGCAAGGTTTGTGTGCTATGCTTCTTGGTGTCGCTTACGAGTTTTCAACCAAAGACTCCCCCATCCCGAGGGCAACGCTGCACTCTATATTATTATCCAGGCTCGAAAGAGATCGATACTTAGATCGATTAGGGAATCTCCGGGGCCATCCGATCATACGAGAGTTCGATGTCACGCCTCAAAAGCTTGATGCTACCGCGTCAGGGCTGCCCGAGGTATTTTTCGACGCCGTTTTTATTGATTTCTTCAAGGACAATTATAGCCGCATCGCCCGCGCTCTTGACAGGGATCCTAGCATGGAGATTTCCGTAGTCTCCAACGGGGTTCAGAAAGGAATATCCCGAGAATTAGTTGATTCATTGAGGAACCAAGTTGAAGAGAAGGACCGTACCTTGGAAGACTTGAAGGCCTCCCTAGCTTCTCTCGAAGAGAAACTGAACCAGGAGAGAGCTGAGCATCGCCGGACGAAGGACAATACCGGCGCTGAGTTTAGCAAAGCCAAGAATGCATCCGAAACTCAACAAAGAGTTCATGAGGCAGAGTTGCGGTTTGTCATTTCAATCAAAATATGACGGGGTTTCAAGCTAACATGGGAAACAGAAAGCTCCAGAGCCAGGTTGCGGCAAAGGAGGCAGAAAATGAGAGGCAAAGTGTCAACTGGAAGAAACAGCTCGCGATCAAGGAGGCAGATGCCGAGAGGCTAAATGTCAACTGGAAAAAGCAGATTGCAGCCAAAGAAGCCGATTTACAGAAACAGCTTAGCCAGGCCCGCAAAGCCGCCGAAGCCGAGACAGAGAAACTATCAGCAAGGTGGAAGCAACAGATGAGTGCAGTCGAATCGGACTACAAGAATAAGCTCAGCCAAGCTCTCAAAGCCGCTGAGACAGCTGAGGCTGAAACTGGAAAGCAAACGGCGGAATTGAGACAACAGATTAAGTCTATCGAATCCGACCACCAGAAGCAGCTCGCTCAGGCACGGAAGGTGGCAGAGACAGAAGTCGAGCGAGTTCATCGCCGAAGCGAAGCCGAGTCTGCTGATCTGAAAGCAACCATCAGTCGGCTCGAGGTAGATTTGTTAAAGGTATGCCCTATAGCCAACTAATCGTATTTGCGAGTAACACTAATAATTTTTGAATTTAGGCGAACAAAAGCAAAACACACGAGATGCAAGCCCTCCGTGATGAAAGCGCAGCAAAGATAAAGGAGCACACAACGCGTTCGGTGGAGGCTGAAAAGAAATACCAGGGCCTAGAGCAAGAGCTCAAGAAAACACAAACTGTGGTTGAGAAATTAGAATCTCAGCTCAAAGAGGTATGCCCGGTAACCTTTTTTTTATATTTTTCGGTTACCCTCTTCTAACATGTGGTGCAGGCCAAGACCCAGACGACTGAAGCAAACAATGCCAAGGACGCGACGCAATCAGAGCTAGATGATTTACTAATGGTCTTCGGAGACCTAGAAGATAAGGTTAACAAGTACAAGGTATGGGCAGAAAGACCAAAACAAACCAACAATCATGTTGATTTCAACTATTCTAACGACTGAATACTTAGGCGCGGCTCCAAGAATTAGGGGAGACGGTATCAGATGCTGATGACGACGACGATGAAGACGATGAAGAAGAGGAGGATGACGAGGACGAGGATGACGAGGAGGCAAGCAAAAGCAACAGCAAGAAGGCCTAGTTAGGCGTTTTGAGTGGGATCGTCGTGAGTTTCACGGAGAGGAACAATATCTGCCAGATTTTGAAGATATATGTTGTGAATGGAGGTAAACAGCTTCTCCCTGACGAGCCTATGATCAAGGATCGAGACGAATGACTGTCCACAAACATTGGATTGCTCGTCCCATGCCTGGCGGCTGTTCAATTCTCAGGCTACTCTCTTAGCTACCCTGTACAGCGATATTGCACCTCGCCGCATTGCATCTCCACCAACCACATCCATCCAGCCCTAGTACTACATTTATTTTATTTGGGCACCCAAGATAAAACGTAGCAATAGTATGGGGCCGCATTGAAAGTTTGTATTTGGCCGTTTATTTACTTCATTGCACATTGTAAAATCGACGGCTGGAACGCCCTCTTCTTCTTCTCTTTTTTTATTAGGCCCATCCCTCCACGCTCTTTGTGACATTCATCTGTAGAGAAGCTGTGAACATTTGGGGGTAGAAAAGGTCACAAAGAGGCCCGAAAAAGGCAAAAAGACAAAAAGTTGACGGTTCCGCCCCGCAACTTTCATCATGGCCGACTTTCCCCCCAAAGCGTCCGACAGGAGTGACACCGAGAGCTCTGGCGGCGACAGCGAGTGGCAGGATGTCGAGCCCGATGAGGAAACATCTACGGTGGTGTCCTTTTTCGACCAGCAGACCTTCGCTTCGCCCACCGAGATGCTGGCGCACAGCAAGGAGAAGCACGGGTTCGATTTTCTGACGACTCAGCGACGCCTGAACCTGGACTTTTACGGCGCCATCAAGCTGGTCAACTATGTTCGCTATCAGGTCCAGCAGGGCCAGTCACTCCCAGCAGAGATCACTCTTGCCGACCTCGAGCATGAGCGGTACCTGAAGCCCGTCCTTGAAAACGATGCACTCTTGTTCTCCCTGGACGACGTCCTCGAGGCCAACCAGAGCGAGGACAATTCCTCACTGGACGCAGCCTCAGCGAATGCGTTGCTGACTCACAACAAGGAGCTTGAGGAGGAGCTCGAGGCCATGCGCAACCAGTTCGCCAACTACCGCCTGGCAGTAGAGCAGACCCTTGATCGCAGATGGGGCGACGACGAAGAACCTAAACCAGGCGCTGTTACCCCAAAGAAGGACAATTCCGAATATTATTTCGAATCTTACGCTGCACACGGTATATATTCTCCCCCGCATGACATGTTACAGTCAGTTTACTGATTCTCGTTAGAAATCCATGAAACCATGCTCAAGGATGCTGTTCGAACAGACGCATACCGTGATTTCATGTACAACAACAAGGACATATTCAAAGGCAAGGTCGTGCTTGACATTGGCTGTGGTACCGGTATGAAACTCCTATTTGCAATGTGCTTCGCTTCTCCGCCACCAACTTGTCTAATGTAATAAAATACAGGTATTCTGAGCATGTTTTGCGCCAAAGCTGGTGCCAGCCGTGTCATTGCAGTGGATAAGTCAGACATCATTCTCAAGGCAAGAGAAAACATCTTCAACAATGGCCTGTCTGACACCATCACCTGTGTCAAGGGGGCCATGGAGGAGGTCGTCCTCCCCGTTGACCAAGTCGACATCATTGTGAGCGAGTGGATGGGCTACTTCCTCCTCTACGAGGCCATGCTCCCCAGCGTTTTGTACGCCCGAGACAAGTATCTACGACCTGGCGGCATCATCGCGCCAAGCTCCATGACCATGTGGATGGCGCCTGTTGCCGACCCGGAGTTCGTGTCGGACCATATCAACTATTGGAAGGACGTGTACGGATTCAACATGAAGGCAATGCAAGAGGGAATCTACGACGAAGCTCGAGTGGAAGTATTGCCCAAGGAATCTATCTGCGGCAAGCCCTACCCCTTTAAAGTCCTTGATTTGCGCACCGTGACAACGCAAGACCTGTCGTTCACGGCCAAGTGGGAATCTAGCCTCACCAAAGATATTGATGAATTGGACGGTTTTGCGATCTGGTTCGACAACTTCTTCGCAACTTCGGCAGATGAGCCCGTGCCCGAGGCTGAGACTCTCCCAGACACATTTGCCAAGCAGAAACCTGGAAATGTCGGGTTCAGCACCGGACCGTTTGACACGCCCACCCACTGGAAGCAGGGGCTTCTGCTCATCAATCCCGATGGATCATACAAGGACCTTGCTGCGCAGACCAAGCTTGCAGGAGAGGTCACATACGCTGTTGCCGAAGACAACAAAAGAGCGCTCTCTATTGGCGCTGCATGGAATCTAAACGGCGAGAAGCCAAGAACACAATCATGGAAGATGAAATAGGTCTAGATTAGAGTAGGATCTACATCTGAAGAAAAAAAGAAGTGCTCTATTTATATGATGTATGGCATGTTCTCTATTTTAAAGATGCGGCACCTTCAGACCTTGAAGGATGAGATTGACTATGCTTAAAAACCCTTCTCCGAGGATAAAACCCTGAGTGTTTGTTAGTAGCTATTGGCTCAGTGTGCCAAAGGGGAACTTACAGATGCAAGTATGATGAGAGGCGTATTTGACCGTTTCATGACGTGGATCCAATACCATCCACCAATACCACCGATGGCCCGAGCTAATGTAAACGATGGGACATTGTACATGCCTAAGAACGGTCAGTATTAATAAAGCCTGAGTAGAGATGACTTCGAATCAGGGATAGCACCCACCGACGGCTACTGCAATCCCGCCCGGCACCAGAGGTCGCCAGGCTTTGCCGACCGAGACAGTCCTGACAATTGTCGCAATTGCAAACAAGATACCGGCCCCAATAGCCCATTCCTTGACCATATGCGGGAGACCTTTGCCAGTGACAAGCCTGGCAGTGAAAATCCAGACGTATGCGGTTGGAACCTGGAACAAGTCGCCGGGAATTTCATAGACTCTGTGGGTGTTTTAGTACAAAAGATACTGATCAGTTATCAAGAGGTATAGGGTTCGCTTACGTCGTGTAGAGTTGGTAGATGAGGGCTCCCAGGATCGCACCGGCGGTTGCACCGATGGTCTGGCCCCAGAACTGAGCCTTGGGTGCTGCTCCAAGCAGATGACCAGTCTTCAAATCCTGCATCAGGTCGCCAGCCTGCAATGCCCCGGCTTCAGAGACGGCGCCCGCAATAAGATTGATCAAAACGCTGGACTTGTGAGATTGAGGGATGATGAGTGCAAAGAAAAGCTGCGCAAGCTTGCTAATCCCCGACACTGGATTCAGATCTGTCTCCCCGAGAGCTCTGACACCCATGATGCTGAGAACCAATGCCATGAACACTGCAATGATTGTGGCATAGAGCGGAATGAGGTCCCCGAAAACAATGTGTATGGTTAGGATACACAGCGTAATGGACACAATCAGTCCGATGGTGACGATTTTGGCGCTGATACGTTGATGGGCAGGGGCATCCTCGTCCTCATCCTCATCCTTTTTATAGGGATTCACTAGACGGAGGCTACCCTCCCTCTCCTGAGAATGACGGGGGGTTTCTTCATTTTCCTCACTAGACGGGATTGCAGTGTATGCATGTGAGTTCCCTCGGAAGATGTTTGCGATACCACTGGCCTGGATTTTCTGTACCAACAGCCTGGACACGGTTGTAACCTGATGGCCGATTAAGGGACGTAGCGCAATGTATGAAAGGCTCACAACCGCGTCAACAAGCATGATGGCAAGCGAAATCCAAACGATCCAGCCTTTACTACCAGTCTCCCAGTCATCGACAGGCCCCGGAGCCCAGCCCCTGGACTTGGCTAATGGGCTGAGGATAGCCCAACCAACGACTGCGCCAATAGTCATATGCAGAGTCGTCTCGGCGCCCATGATGATCCCCTGGCCAACATAGGCAAGACTAGGATTCAACGTCCACAGCCACACTTGGGCAGCCGTGGTCCCAAAGATGGGCAGGTTTCGAAGAATGGGCAAGAAGTACGTGCAAACCGTGTAAACACCAGAAATTAGAAAGCAGATAAGAAGGAGGCGCATTTTGGATGCCCAATCGTCGCTCGTTCCGCCAGTTTCCTCCTGTACATCGTTGTCAACATCACCACTGACGGCCGAGGACTCTTCGGCCAAGAGAGGCTCGTCACGAGGAACCAGGCTGGCAAATTTACCCTCAGCCGCGGCGTCAAGCTCCTTCTGTGATTGCTGGCCCTGGCCGTGCAGGAAAGAGATGAGCACGGCTGTACTGAAACCGCTGGGGAATCGCAGCCGCTCCCGGATGATGACTTGCCGACGACTTCCACCATAGTCAGCATAGACGTTCATATACTGTACTGTACTCAATGAGTATGAAGATCTTACAGTGGGACGGCAAATACAACGCCAAAATAACACAGGCCAAGGGACCAAACGATAAGCTGCCAGGTGCTCAGATTCAAGGGGCCTTGCTCTTCAGGCAACAGAAGCATCGTCATGGCTGGTATCTGCCGTGGCCTCAGTTAGCAGACAACTCTCTCATATTACCGAAGACCGGCTGGCGTTGGAACTAACCACGCCAACAAGGCCACAGCCCAAAGGCATAATGGCCATCCCGCACGCTACGCTCTGAACGAGTACATTCTCCACGGGGGTGAAGGGGAAGGCCAGGTGACGAGACAGAAGCTTAAAGATCCCGAATCCCATCAGACTGGCGGGCATCGACATGATAGAAACCCAGCCAGTCTGCAGTCCAAAGTAAACATTGGCGGCACAGATGACGGTCCCTACCGCAAGGCCCACCAGGACCCCGCGGGCCGTGAAGCTCTGTCCAGGGGGGACTGGAGGTGCCATTGCCCTTCAATCGAAACCCTCGGACGATGATTGGGACAGCGGGCAATTGGGGTTGATGATGGTCGAGGCCGGAATCAACTTTGAGTGGTTCTACGGGGGATTCAACGCCCGGAGATACAAGTAGCAGCCGGCAGTTCTCCAGCCGCGTTGAAGGATGATGATGTAATCCCGCTATCGGCGAATTGATGCACATGCTTACTAAGCATCACATTATGCATACCACGTCTGTCCATACCTATGTTTATAGCTCGCCACTGTGTCTCATCTAGCAATGCGCCGATAGGTCATGTAATGTACTTTGATCTTCGGCAATTCTTACACGAGGCGCTCTGAGGCGGGTGTCCTTAGATAATGGAAGGAAGACAATCTAGTTGTTGCGAACTTAGAAATGACTTGAACGATCCATATACAAGAGACCGCCCTCGAACGTATGGAGGGAGACCTCCCTTGTCTTATCAATGTCAAGCCATAGCAGTCTTGAACGCACATTTCTACTCATTTTGTCCTCTCTTTCTGTGTGCCTCTCCGGACTAAACCAACCACTTTACTCTAGTAGTATTATGTTCATGCCCCTGATATTATCGCCATCCATTATATACAGCCATCCTACTGCCCCTCGACTTTTGTACAAGAGCAGAGCTGAAGAGATTTCTTCCGCTCAATCCACCCCATACTATACATATTACAAACAAAGGCGACGAGAAGTCGCCGAAAACCCACATCTTGCCTCCACGCTAAAATCCAAAGCTATCCAGGAGAGATCCTGCATCAGGTTCTTGGAACGTTGTTGGTGCTGCCTTGGGCTTCTTTGGCCCTTCAATCATAATCTTGCGCTCTATGCCCAAAGCAGGGCGATCATCGACGACGAGCGAACTCCTTCTTCGGAGTAACTGGAGAGGATTGACGTTACCACCAATCTGTGTAATTGTGGACATCTGCTGGAACTCCCAGTTGCGGACTGAAGAGGAAACCATTAGCTTATTCTGTGTCTGAAGCATCGATAGCACGGGGAGAAGCTGATTGCGGCTCACCTAAATCTAGGCCAAGGAGATCACAACCCATGCGGTCATACAGCTTTGCGCTATGCAGAACAAACCCCCATTCTACCTTGGGCGTGACCTTAGATGCTCCTCGGAGCGTTTGCAAAGTTTGTTGTCGAAGCTGTGAATAGAGAACCACGAGTGCCGGATCATCCGTCAAAAATAGGCGGGACTTGATATCTGGGGAACAGGGTGTCTCCACAAGGTCGTACACAGGCGTCTGCGAGGTGCAAGTTTGGTTAGCTCCTTCTTTCCTGAGATAATAATACGGGGTGAAGAACAGCAGTGCAAGTCATGGGCTGCAAATCTTACAACAAGAGCTCGGACGGCCATGTCCTTTCGACCCAGCATCCAAAAGGCCCACGATGCCAACCATCGATTGCCTTCCTGGGCCGCCAACGGAAGTACTTCATCATGTAGGATTTTGCGCAGCACAGGGCTCTCATCCCCTCCATACACACGCGCTATTGCAATGGCCAACTGGATATCTTTCAGTTGGTGTAGGCAGATATCAACTGCACTTTCGAGATTGTCGGCAAGCAGAAAGAATGCAGCCGCATACTCTACACGTTGTATTGATTAGCAAGCCCACAAATAACGGTCAATCTGGATTTGAATGCGTAATCCTACCGAACCGTCGTTTACTCAGTAATGCATATGCATTCTTTAATGCTGTCGTCTTCCATTTTGGATCAGCAAAGTTGTTAGCCAGTAACCGCTGTGTGGCAATCTGTTCTTTGTTCGCTAGAGCCATGCGCCATAACCCTTGGAGCACTGTCTTTTTACGAAGTGCCAGGTAGTAGAGACTGCAGCCCACAGGGTTTTTATCCTCATCCCTGGTGTACTCATTCCTCGCAATCATTTCGAATTGAGCCCTCTGCCAAGTGTGAGTAGATGGTTTGGGAGGAAGGAGTATATCGATTTGTAAGACTTACCACAGTGTTTATATCCGTCAACCACATGAAGAGGCCATTCTCACGAGCGTTGGACCAAAGCATGTTGCCATGATTCTGTCGTGACACAAAGTCCACCAAGATATCCTGACTAGTAGAATGGTATGCCCAATTCACTTCCCTCCAAGAAAGGTGCAAGTCATTGGCTTGTCCTTTGCGCAGAGCATTCTGGCGAACGAAGAGCATAAAGCGAGCAGCGTTTTCGTCCATAGAGCGCCTGTGGCGTTCGACGGTAGCTGAACATTCGGTGATATCGGCGAGCTGCATTTGCTCATGGCCAGACAGCTGTGGTATGCTGATCTTCAGTAATTTATCATTGATGGCCGCCGCAGTTTGCTCAGTAAAAGTATCATCGTCTTCGTCTTCATCTAGAACAGAGTCGAGATACGATCCGTTAATCTTCTCGCTTGTCCGAGTTCGTTGTTCCTGCAATGAATGTTAGCCTCTCTTCCTTTTCGTTTCCAGTTTCCAGTAAACATACGCCTTGGATAAAAAACTCTTCAAGGTCAATCCCGAGATAGTCGTCCAGAGGCTCGC